CCGCTGACGCAGGGCCTGCAGCCTCTGGCCGTACTCGCCCTCACCCAGGCCTCCCCGAGTCAGGCGGGTGGCACCCGGGCTGGGGCTCCTGCGCTGCGGCAGCTCCACAGATGCTGCCTTGTGCAGGCTCCGGCCCGGCTCCCGCGACCCGACTCGGGGCAGGGCGCTCTCAGCAGAGCTGCCCCTACGGAGCTCCGGCCGCCTGGGGCTAGGCCCATCTGGGGGCTCCTGGCCTGGAGAGGGGAGTGCCTCAGGGCTGGGGGCCTCCTGGTCCTTAGAGGGAGCCCTTCCCTGTTCTTGCCAGTCCATGGGGGTGGCAGCCCCAGCGTCCGGGGTCCCCAGAGCCTCATCTTCAGTGGGGATGTCAGTGAGGGATACCCGAGAACCTGAGAACTCGGGCTGCAGGGGGCGGGGCACCGAGGGAAGTTCTTCCAACTCTTCCTCTTCTGAGTCTGATGAAGATGAGAGTCCCCCACTTGGGGGTGGTCTTCTAGGCATGGCCACCCACACCCGCTCCGGGGGAGCACGTAGCAGCTCTGGAATGGGGCGCAGCACCAGGTGGCACTTGTAGCTGATTTGGGAGCGCTGCAAACGAAGTACTTACAGTCAGACCAGAAAGGCCCAGAGGCCTAACCAGGCCCTTTTCAACTCCAGGAGAAAGAAATATAGAGTTGGGAAGGCAGCTCAGGCAGGAGTGGGAGGTAGGGATCACCATGGGGGAGGGGAACGACTGTGTGGAAGGAAGGAGGGAGTAACAACTGTGTGGGAGTAAATCAGTGTGGAAAGGACAGATACACTCACCTGCCACCTCCTCCGTGACAGAAAGAGCTTCAGGTGATCTGTGCTCACCTCTGCACCTTTTGCTTGTGTCTGAAAACACAGAAAAGAGGACCTGAGGGCCAGCACTCTGCCAACCCAGAACGACAAAGCTCACTGTGGAGCTTGGAACTAGAAGTATGGGTTCCTGTGGGTCTGTCCCTGTGACTTTGTCAGGGCAGAGGAACACCTGAGACAAATTCTTTGATTGTAAGAGTACCTGAGGGAGCGTGACTTTCCCTGGCATACTGGGTACCCTGTGGTACCTTCCTGTCTCTATGTATGACAGGCATCCCAGACATCTGAAGTCCTGCTGGTCCAGACTAACAAGGCTGCCAGCAGCATCCCACCCAGCTCACTCCAG